TCAGATATTGAATATATACTGTAATAAGCACAAAGGTTCAATAGCAAATTTTTTTCTATTTTGAATAGGACTTCATAAAAATATTTGAGCTGAAAATTCAGTATGCCAAGTTAAATGTTTTTTTCTCTTTTATTTTGGGAGAGGATTTTTTATAACGACTCAAGTAATACAACAAATAAATTACCATTATGTTCTATCAAAAATGCTTTGGAAAAAAGAGAGGCGATTAGAATCAATGAATTTCAGAATGGATACTTTTAAAAAATGACTGTAATAAATAAAATTAAATACATAGTGTGCTAAAAACTCACTGAATTAACATTTAGGAATGGTATATGTTTATTATCATAAGTTAAATTATTTTTTGGAGGGAATGAAACTAACCTGAAGTTTAAAATATTATTTTTATACTCCTCTTCTCAAAGTTAAAAGTTAGCAATATGATTCATGAAAATAACAAACCATTTTAGATATTAATTTGGATATACTTTAGGGGTATGAAAATCTATTAAGGGATTCTAGAGTACTCAAGCAAAAATTTTGTTTACATCTAAAACGAGCTACCTAAATAAACGTGAAACAAGATTGAAAACTTTATCGCTCAACACAATCTTAACTTGCGAAGTTAATACCATTTGATAATCAGCGGCGGGAACTAGAAGATATGGTAATAAAGATAGGTTAGCATCACTTAGAAAGGTCAAGGGTCAAGAAAGCTATTTCTTGTTGAGCTTTGTTTTATTGGCCCATGACGGCTACCAAGCAACCAACAGGGTAAATAGAGTAACAAAGCAATAAGGAGATTTATGAGAGCCGCAGTATCCGCAGGCCCCATTTATCCTCAGCATTTTCTAATGGAAGGCGCAACAGCCCAGTAATTTAAATTTATGAAATATAAATTGATTTTTTTTATGGCATAAATGTAAAAATAAATCGCTACAATGCGATTTCAGTCTCGTCCGTTTAACAAGCTTGATTCATGTATTCAAAACTTGCTGAATTAAGACCTGATTCTACATTGAATGGTATAAAAATATAAAATACATCTTAAAATTAGTTAATAAGGAATATATAACCTCCCTAAAATTTTCTTCCAATTGTTCACTATTAAGGCATGTTTGATCCAAACTGAACTAGCTATAACTTGACAAAAGGTAAACAGTAGGTGGATGACCTATCGACCTTTCCTTATCTCGATTCCTAAGTCGCGATTACGAATGAGAGCCAGTTGCCTGGCCGCTATCTCCCCAGGGGCCTTAACCTGCAGATCAGTATCTCAGGAACCCTTTCCCGACGACTACAATAGTTCAAAAGCAGTAGAATAAAGCCATTTGTGACTAATGGCTCTTCAGAACCTTTGAGTCAAGCAAGATTGATGGCATTTTAGAAACAGTTTAAGAATCTAACTAGATTAAATAAATATCGATTTTATAAGAAGTAGTACGTTAAACAATAATTGTTCTTTCTCCTGCTTTCAATTGAGAAGTTATATTTCTAGACATAATTTACATGTTTTTAGATTAGAAGATATAATACATATCACCAAAATAGTCTTTGCCTCTGATGAGTTCAATAATAGCCCGAATTAGTATAGCTCAGTGTGATACCTATTTACCCCGATCCTTATCCCTTTTTTATCCCGATCATTATTCCGATTTTAGACCTATCCCTATTTTTATCCCGGTACCTATTCCTATTTTATCCCGATCCCTATTTTATTCCGTCTCCTATTCCTGTTTTATCCCTAACCCTATTTTATCCCGGTAACTATCCCTATTTATCCCGATCCCTATCCCTATTTTATCCGGCTCCCTATATTTTTACATTTACATTACATATTATATTGCATATTACATTTAACATTAATTTTTACTATAAATAAATAAATTGAAAGACACTGTTTCACTCACGCACACACATATATTGCAATTAGAGATCTTAACTGACTTAACGGAACGGAAATTGTTGAACCAAGTACCCACTCGATCGATAACAGGACAAATATATTTTAAAATTTCCTCAAGAGTACCGAAAACTATTACTATCCTTTTCTTAAAAACAGTGCAAAGGAAAATGGAATTTAAAAAGTCGTAGATCGTATACATTTACACTTGCAACGGTCTGTTCCATATTTTCCTTTGTCTCCTGGTTTGAAACTTTTCACTTCGAAAATTCATAAAACCGTCGACAAATGCCTTCTCAAAAATGTAAAACTCCGACAAAATATGCCACTCTCAAAAATTTTAATGACGCAACTTACGCCATGAAACTCCTTTCCGCTGAACAGTTATATTTTTATCAATTAGAGAGATTTATTTTAATTATTAAATGGCATTTTAATGATAATGATGTGGAACAATTTTTTCACTAATCCTGAAGTTACCTTCAATTATGACCAAAATCGAAGGAGCCCTTTTTGAAAGATAAGCATATCTAAAAAAATACAGTTACGTTTGCGTAAGCGAAAGTAGTTTATGGAATTTGATATGGGATCATCTATGTACCAGCCTGCACACTGAAAATTTTATGAAAATCAGATTAATGGTTGTAGCCTGGCACATGGATTTGACTATAGACACTAAAAATACTCTGTTCCTTGATGTCTGAAACGTAAAACGCTAGAATACAAAGCTTCTCTACCCAGTGGTGTCCAGAAGGGAGTTTCATGGCGTAAGTTGTGCCATCAAAATTGTTGGTTGTTGATTACAAAGATTATAATTTCTATTCATCGGATGCTGACATTTATCGAACAGTTTGGCAAAATAATTATATAGACGAGACTTGTTGGAGTTTAATTTTAATTTTGGAACGCCCAATAGGTTAGTTGGGTCTTTCATAACCCGCACTTCCTGCAAAATTCGAAAGACCTATATAATGAAGAACCTAACATATAACATGGAACAATATTTAGGTCATTTTATTCAAAAGCTTCCATAAATCAATTTTCTTCTTTTTACGTAAACATAAATAAATATTTTAATTTAGATAATAGAGACGGTTTATATTCGATTTTACATAAGATCAAGTAAGCATTGCGTAATTTAGAACTTTAGCAAATAATGGTTACATCAACAATTATGCTATTCATTTTTGTTCAGTTCAATGAATGTGTAGTGATCTTACAAGAATATGTGACTATAGAGCAGTTATAAAGTAAAAACAAATGCATGGTGTATATTAAATATTCTGATGAGAGATTGTAATAAATAAAAATATGCTTATCATCTTGCATTTGATATATATCCTAAGTTCACCAATCCTTAGCCTTGTGCAAGTTCCAATGCCGGTAAGTGATATATACAATCCATCTAAGGATTTTAGTTGTTTCAATGGACAAAATATAATACCTTTCGCTTATGTAAATGATGACTACTGTGATTGTGAAGATGGGTCAGATGAACCAGGAACCTCTGCTTGTCCAAATGGCACATTTTTCTGTAAAAATACCGGTCATATATCCCAAACTATTCCATCATCTAGAGTCAATGATGGATTCTGTGATTGTTGTGATGCTTCAGATGAATATTTGACTGCTAAATGTGTATACAATTGTGATATTATGGGTTTCAAAGCCAACCAATTAAAAGAAATAAAGGACCAAATTTTTGTTCTTGGAAACCGATTGAGGCTTCAATTAGTGACAACAGGAAATCGAATAAAGACTGAAAGAGAACTAACAATGATTGAATTAAAAAATAAAAAGTTGAAACACATGAAAGTTTTAGAAGAAAAAGAGTACCTGAAAAATTTCACTGAAAAACAAAAACTAGAATTATTAAAAACGAAGAGTGCTGTAAAATCGATGCAAGAGCAGAAGGAAGAAGAAGAAAATAAAGTGGCAAATAATATATTCTCTGCTGTTGATGCCAATCACGATGATAAATTAGATTCTAAAGAAATACTAAAAAAGCCAATATTTGATGAGGACAAAGATGGTATTGTATCGAAGGAAGAATTTGAATATTTTTTTGGACATAATGAAAATATTAATCGATCTATGTTTTATGACACTGCTTGGCCAAAATTAAAGCAATTATACTTGTTTGACAAGCTAGATTTTCTTCGTTCTAGGCGTGAAAATTCAGATTATTTTTTGGACTCTGATATTGAAAACATCGAGACAAACAGTGGGAAAACTCAAGGAAAATATGATACAAGAGAAAAAGAAATAATACAAAAAAACAAGGAAGCATGCTCTGAGTACAAAGCTGCAAAGGAGGTACTGGAAAGCATCGAACAAGAAATTGCATCACTTAAAAATGCACTATCAAAGGATTATGGACCAGACAATGAATTTGCTATGTTAGAAGGAGAATGCTTTGAATACTTCGATAAATCTTTTTATTATAAAATATGCCCTTTTAATAAAATATTACAGTCTAATAGAATTGATGGGCCTGAAACCATACTTGGTACCTGGGCAGGATGGTTAGATAACAAATATAAAACAATGCTCTATGACAGAGGTGAATTTTGTTGGAAGGAATATCAAAGAACAGTGAAAGTATTTGTCAATTGTGGTTTATCAAATGAAGTTGTAAGAGTTTCAGAACCAACTAAATGTGAATATATATTTGAATTGGTATCACCAGCAGCATGTAAAACTCCAGACACAAGTTTTATTCACGATGAATTGTAACTTAGACATATTGATAAATAAATTCAACCAATAACTTAATTATATTGTTATTTTTATTCAATTTAACAATTACACAAAATTTCCTGAAACTAACTCAAGTTATTTTGTATTGAATGAAAATGGTTTATATATCAATTAGTGTTTCTACTAGCTAAGGACACTTAAATTTAAATTAAAAAGTAATTTAAAATCTATTTTTACAGATCCAAATCTCAAAACATGAACTATATATAATCTTATAATAACATCAACTATACCGTAACGAATTTGATTTATTTTGTTGTAGCACTTGGAGTGCCAATCGCTGTTCTTGCATAATAATAATATTGCATTTTTATTTATTTATTTATTTTTTTTGCAGAAGCTGGGGAAGCAGTTAAGGAGAAGGCTGGAGAAATAGTAGAAGAGGTAGAAGAAAAAGTGGCATCAGTTTTTAGCTCAGAAAAAAAAGCTGCTGAAGAGGCAGTTGAAAATGCAAAGGAAGAAGCAAAAGCAGAAGTAGAAAATACAACAGAAAAAGCTCTTGAAGAAGTAGAAAAAGCTAAAGAAGATATACAGAAAGCAGAAGAAGAAATTAAAAAAACCAGTGACGCTGTTCTTGAGGACATAGAGGATGAGAGTGTAAAAAAGGAGTAAGTGGTGAATCAGGTGATGTTTATAAGACAGAGTCAATTAGCTGAGGTTAATTATAACAGAATTTATTTTTATTGATCTTAGATACCTTAAACAAATCAGGTTCTGAGAGTATACAATAATTTAACAAAGTTGCTTTATTTGCTAATTTCAAATCCATTGATTTAATCATATTTCAGTTTTATAATTAATCTGTTGTTAAATTACTCAATGAAGAAAAAAAAAGGATGAAAGTAAGGTAAATTTTTGTAGCTTAAAAAGTAAAAATGTTGTAGCTTTAAATTTTAAATGGTAACAACAAAACATAAGTTTTCTTTTAACAATACAAGATTATTGTAATTTTTATTGATTAATACCCACAAACTTTGGATCTGAAAATTATGTTTTACAATAGAAGGAAATATATATGACTTTCAAAACATTGTTGAATATTTACTTTTTACAAAAATATTCCTCATATTATTCACATATCTGTGATTATATAAGTGTGATCTTTTTTTTCTAATTATTACAAAATAAAGTAAAACTTTATTGGTTTTGATAATATAATTTTATGATCAATGCATTATTGTATGTATATATATATATATATAAATTTTATCAGACATTCATAGAATATTCAGTGAATTTTATAAAATTAATTCAGTAGCAAAATACAATTTCACAACTTCTGTAACAAAATAACTTTATTTCATATTTATACAAAGTTAATAGTCTTCCATTTTGTTTATTTTATTTGTTATTGTTATATTTCTGTTTAAGAGGATAAAATGCATTAAAGGACATAATTTTGATAATGACCATTGCTGCATACAAATATTTACAATTCTTTTAATATATATATTACTTTTAATAAAATATGAAATCGCTAATTGATTCTGTCTGTTACTGTTAAGATAAAATATTTTAATGCTTTAGTTTGCTGGTGATCAATGAAACATTTGCCACAGCAGCTTTTAATGTTCAAAGCAATAGCTGCAAAACTCCGATTTTCATACTCCAACTGTTTGCTTTTATTCAAATAGCTCAATTAATAAAAATACTACGTGACAAAATTTTGATACAAAATTTACAGTTTGGATTGTTGGACTATACAAGTTTAAAAACCCTGTATAACGGAATATTACTTTTTTAAATTTCATATAAATATTAAATGAACATAAAAAATACATTAAATTTGAAAATGCTTATGTCTGTCATCAAGTTTATTAGTTCTGTATATTATATGTCGAACACCAGCAAGCCAGCTTTAATTTGTTGGAACATGAGAGTGACCATAAAAACACAGCTTTTTACCTACTCTTCAATGTATACAAAATAATTATATTTAAAATACTAAATCTTTAAGCTTCCATAATATTGCACATTCATTTTCATTTATTTATTAATTTTATAGTTTTTTTTTCATTTATTAACATTAACTGTATGTGAATTGAGATGCCTAGTTTATCTGAGCATAACATTAATTGTTATTACCACCAATCCCATCAATGCTTTTTTTGAAATATTAATATTAAGCCTTAGTAATGCTATGAGTACGAGTGAAAAGAAGCAGATTTTATTTATTAAATGACTCATTAATTTTGGCTTGGAAAACTCTGATCATTTGTTGAGGCTTATGTAATGATAAACAATCGTTTTTAGTTTGAATCACATTTTTAATTTTTTTTCTTTCTTTTTTTTAAGTTCAACTGAAGTCTAATAAATATTTCTCCTAAGCAGACTCTTGTCTTCTTCATCCCATTTTTCATATGATATGTTTTGAAGAATTAATTAATAGCATTATAAACATAATTGAAACTGTCAATATCTCATTTATCAATGTCAGTTCAGCCTCCTCATACGCATAACTAAGCATCAAGCATATAGTGTTTGGTGCACCCAAAACAGTCTAGTGCTTACCATACTGAGCTCACATAAACTAGGCCAAATACCATGTTATTTATAGCAATTACTATTTTTTTTTTAAATTCAGACCTGACAAATAATAATTTATGCATTTAAAAAACATCAATAATGTTAAAATATGAATTTAAAGTTTCTCAGAACACGTGTATGTTTTTAACAAATTCTTATATTTATAGATTTTGTCATTGTTATATTTTAAAATGTCATTGGCCTATTTTTTCTATTGCTATAAATAATGCTGTAATTAATATAAGTTTAGTTGCTATAGTCACCTGTGAAGGAGATTGTAAAGAATGAGTAATACCTGGTGTTTGCTAAAAATGCACTGAAAGTAACCGATAGTGCCTTACTTTTAGAGTTATTGTTGTTGGGTCGCTAAATACCTTGTTTTATTTGCTCATTAAATGTAGTATTTTAGAGAAATTTATAAATAGCTAACACCGCAGATAAGTTGTGTGAAATTTGTATTTGTTGTCACGATGTAAATAAGAGTTATAACACGTCACATTTGGTAAATTAAATAAGTATTAAGTACATTTGATAAGTACTGATTAAGTATTGTTTGAAGTCTAGAAATAATCAGATTTTCAGTTGGCTATTAAGCCTATTGATTATTCCTTCCAAACATTATACTACTTTTTAAAAATATTTTACAGTTTGGTTGTAATAAAAATGATTTAAATAAAATCACTTGATAAATCCGTGATTCTCACAAAAATATATATAACAGCATGCTCAAAAATGGCACACTTGCACTAAATCTTACAGATTAAATGTTTTACCTTTCTTTTCTTACTATTAATCCTAAATATCTAATTATTGCTATATTTAAATGTATATTATTCTTTCAATGTCAAGGGTAAAAAACATTTTGAATGCCTTTGCTATGTACATATAAATACAATTAATCAATTCAGAACTGTTTTTTTTTTTTTGTTTCATAGTTATTAGTGATAAAGCATTGGTTCTATCATTAATTTTGAAATTCAAGTCTATAGGAAAAATTAAGAAAACAAGCCATATTCCACAAATCCTAACTAAATAACTCACTTTTCCATAAATGTTTTATTTGCTTTGCATGCTGAAATTAAATTATGCACTATAAGCAATATGGATAAAGTTCTGAATTAGGTGCATGAGCAAGTAGTTATTTATTGATAGTAGCTTTGCTTTATTTTTTTATTGGGGTAAACCACTTATGTTTTTTAAAAACAAGGTAGATTGTTTCAATAATATTAGGTATTTTTCTAATTATGTGGCACAGCATAATCACTTTTACCTCTAATTTCTGTTTAAATAAAAACTTACTTTTTTTTGTTGATATTCACAGCTTAAGGACAAGATTATAATTAGAGGAATATATAGAGAAAGTTTATATTATAAGAGCTTATAGAAGGCGATAATGATTTCAGTTCGAGAGGATCACCTAACAATAGAGACAGGATACATTCACCAGAAATTTGGACAAGGCCAGATGACAGCTATGAAAAATTTCCTGCTTCAGAACTAGAGGACATCAAGCAAGAGATTGAAGAAGACTTGAAAGAAATGGAAGCTGATATGGTAAAACAGGACAGTAATGATGATGAAACAGATAGCTTACATGAAGCTGCTTCTAATCTTATAAATGTCGTGGAAACAATAGATGATACATCAAGTAAGATGTTAAATGAAATAAATATTCCAGAAGCAACTGAAATAAATGCTCCAATAGAGACTGAAATAAATCCTTCTGCAATGACTGAAACAAACTTTTTAAAAACAACGGAAATGAATGTCCCTACAGCAACTGAAATAGTTGTTCCTGCACCAACAAATATAAGTATCCCAACCGCAACAAACATAAATGTTCCCATACCAACAGAATTTAATGGCCCATCAATTGAAATTAATATTCCAGTAGTGGATGAAAGCGATTCTCTCACAACTGAATTAGATGTCCCAACAGCAATGGAAATAAATGTCCCAACAGAAATGGAAATAAATGTCCCAACAGCAATGGAAATAAATGTTCCAACAGCAATGGAAATAAAAGCCCCAACAGCAATGGAAATAAATGTCCCAACAGCAACTGAAACAAATACTGTTGAAGCACTAGATGAATCACAGGAATCTAAAGAAATCATTAAAAATTCTGATCAGACCAAAAAGGAAAAGGAGGAAGAAGACACTGCTAAACATTCAAATGAAAATGATGAAGAGAATAACAATGAAAACAATGAAGCAAGTGATGGTGTTGAAGCTGCCTAAACAAAGATGATATCAATGTACATGTTGTTGTCCAGTATCACTCTTGATATATAATTTTTGTAAAAAATTAAATATATGTATTATTTATTTTATTTTTTGTAAAATACAACTCTAAAATTATTGTAGTGTAAATGACAATGATGTATATTTTCCATTGAGTAGCTTTATTAGAAAATAATAAAATATATCTCATTTTCACAATGCAATATTTAGCAGGCTTTTTCGATAATTAGCTAGACAAAATCAAAATTCTTGGCACACTCACTTTTTTCTTCTATTTATTTTATTCAAAATAGTATTATTGTACAGTTATATTGAGACTCCCTAGTTTATCTTTTATAATTTTTTCACTGATTTATTACGAACATATAATATTTTTATATTTTTTATAATGTAGAAAATCAATAAAATGTGTAGCAAAAACAATTTTATTTAAATGGAAATAACAATCATTACTTATTATTTTAAAGATGACTTATTGTTTCTAATGGGCCAGATATTGCTACTACCTCAATTTCCACTTTAGCTCCCTATAAAATAAAAGTATAGATGAATTAATATAATTTGGGATGGAAGGTAAGTTTCTACTTGTAAAAATTGTTATTAAAAAAGTTAATTTTTATAAAAATTTAATGTTAATATAAAAAATTATTAAAAATAAAGTGTTAATTGACTCACCAAGGGAAGCTTTCCTACTTGGAAACATGACCTTGCAGGGAAAGGCTCCTTAAAATCTATCAAAACAAATTTAAAATAAATTATTTCAATTTATTGGACATTAATGATTCAATTGACTGATCGAAAATCTTAAAATACTTAACCAAATATGTATATTATTAATATTTATTAAAAATAGAAGAAGAAAAAAAAAAACAAGAGTGCCTTGTTTATTGGCACAAATGAGAAAAAAACCACTACAGAAAAGAATTATCCAATTATAAACAGTAAAATATCAAAAGGTTTAAGATTGATAATTGTGGATTGATCGTTGACTATAGTGAATAATTGAAGAGAAGGATGGTTGGGGTGATCAGTCAAAATACAAAGTATTAAAAATAAATAATTATATTTATTTTTATATTTGCCGACGTTTCGGCCCGAAGTCCATACCTTCATCAGGGCTAAGATAGAACCAGATAACAATAGGTATGAGAAACTATAAACATTTAATATAAAAAGAAGGTTAATATTTGATGTTTTTCCTCTAACCACAACAGAAAACTCTTTAAAGGGTCAATCCATTTGAAATCACCCAATTTGAATTAATTTTGTTGCTCGACATTTTTGATTTTTATAATTTTTTTTACCAGTTATTCCATATTTATTTGATAGTTCAAAGCCGCAGTTAAAAAAATTTAAGGCTTACAGTTTTTTAATGGATGGTCATTTTTAATTTTCTTTTCGACTAAAACATGTTTTGGGAAAATACCTGTAACTCTGGTTATATTGTAAATATCAAGCCAAAATAAAAACTGAAATAATTTAGATTATTTTTTCTACATTTCTGTTGATCAATTCATTGCCTGAAAAGAAAGAAAAGTGGTTTAAAGAAATCATGAAAATAGACAAAAATGTGACTTTTTGGACTGCAAAAGTGTAATGAAGAAAAGAGTCTCAACTTTAATTTTTTCTTCATATGTTGACCTTCGAAGGTACTTCTTGCTGATGAAATTTCAATCTTGAAAACCTTGTCCTTTTTTAAATATGAGTTGTCAAAAGTCATTTTCGGCGAGATTTGAAATTGTAAACCATAAAAGGGAGTTAGTGGAAAATGATGAAACTTATAAATTTTATAACACTTTTTGATAAGCACATACGGAACAAATTTATTGTCTGAGACTTAAGCGGTTCCTGAGTTATATTGTATCAAATATGACTGGAAATCGCGTAATTTAAATGCTGACTTTAAACACTTTTAAAAATCATCGATAGGGATGTGTAATATTATGTATGTAATACTCAGTCCAGTTTATGATATTCAAATTAAAATCTCGTCAAAAATGACATGGCAGTTTTTGAAACTTCATATTTAAAAAAGGACAAGGTTTTCAAGATTGAAATTTCATCATCAAGTAGTACACTGATAGGACTACATATGAAAAAAAAATTGAAGTTGTAACTCTTTTCATTATTACAATATTGCTGCGCTAAATGTCTTGTTTAATGTTAATTTTAATTTTATAGTTGTCAAATTTTTTTAAAAACTTTACTAACTACTAAAGGAGAAAAAAAATTATAAATTATAGGAGAAAAAAAAAACTACTAGAGGTAAAAAAATTCAGAGTAAAACATCAACATGTTCTGGGTGATTTCAAATGGATTGACCTTAAACTGTTTTTTTTTTAAATATCCATTTTGGGATTGGAAATATTGTGATTTCTATTCACTAAAAAAAAAATTCCCTATTCATCCTACTTATGAAGTACGCAGAATCACTTTGGGGAGGATAACTCAGCTATGCACCTTCTTTTCTGAACTCTTTAATAAGAAATTCCCTGGTTTCTTCTTTTTCACTTCTATGCTCTGAGTTTTAAGTTGATCTACATTGCATCATTTGCAACAACTTTTCTGCTTAGTAATCATCTGGAAGACCAGGTTTTCAGGGATTGAATTCTACCCAAGGATCTTTTCTGGCTATTCCTTCAGTTTGATATAACTTTTGTAAACGAAGAATCCATGTTTTACTATTTTATTTCCAACCTAATAAGGCAGGATGATGTTCTTTCTGGGGTTCATCAATAGAATAATCAGGGGTAGAGCACTTTATTACATTTAAAGTGCATTTAAAGTTTATTACATTAGGTACATCACATATAACTTCCATGCTCGCCCAAGCTACACTGACCTAGTGTCCTCCTGTCCGAAACAGTGTTGCCATAATCCACTTTCCAAACACATATAATAATAGTGGATTGTCTACAACACCCTCCCTCCTAAGGAGAGAGCCAATAATCACTTTACATATGTCTGTTCAGACGGTTATAACCCTGAGGTAGGTCTTCAGCATTTCCATATCTTATATACAATTAGCTTACAAAATAATTACTTAAATTATTGACATAACATTCTAAAATATTAATAACTTTTATTATAGGAATAAACAGAGCACACATTTGCATTTAAAAATATAGAGAGTTAGACATAGCTATACTGAGTTAAACTTCATGAAAGAGTTTTTAAAAGTCTGGTGTGAAACAGACTCCTCGTATTACCACTATTTGGATCATCTATCAACATTGGATGTTTACCCAGCTGATTTATTAATTTAAAGTTCAAGTTTCTATTATTTTTTAAATATTATTATCAGAAATTATATTTATATTTTAATTATTTAATCCAATTTAAATCAAGAATTCACTCTGAGGTCCATTACCTTCTGTTCATAAAATTTATAATTAGAATCCTAATCTTAGCTTTACCAACAACCTAATTATACTATTTACAAAGATATATACACAATATATTTACAAGTTATCCAGTTCGGGTAACCTAACAATGTTTTCGCCAGGACCCTCTAGCTGGTCAACAGAAGGGATGCTAATTTAAAACCCTTTTTAATCCTCTGGAATATGATAAAGACTACCATGTCTCACATAATAAGCGACCTGTCCTAACATGATCCAGGATCATAAAACCCATATTATAGAATGAGTAGGGTGAGTGGTAGTCCATCACACTCAAAATTATACTTAATAAGTCCTTGGAACAACTCTTCATATAATCCTGTTCTTTTCTTACTCCAGTCATTGAGTTTTCAAAACTCATTTTTTAAATGTAGAGTTGTCTTTCCTAGAATCAAAGGCATTTCTGGATTAAAAGATTTATCATACTTTTCTTTGCTTTTGGAATATGGATTTTATCCATTTTTATGTTCATTCTGGAGTTCATCAATAGAATAAAACTATGATCAGGGGAAGAGCACTTTATTGCAAATTATTAACATTATGTACATCACATATAGCTTCCATGCTTACCCAAGCTACAATGTCCTGGTGTCCTCCTGCCTGAAACAGTGTTGCCATAATCCATTTTCCAAACACATATAATAATAGTGGATAGTCCACAACAATCAGCATACAGTATACCATATCTCTCTTTTTGTTAATGCTACCCATTGCACATCCAGATGTTCTAATCTTCTTAGGTTAATTGAATCAGGCTCATCTGTTAGGAGGTCAATCAGATGCATGTCAGCAATGGCATATATTGCACCATAAGAAAGAAAGCAGTTCAAATGATACAGGAAATGCATGGTGAGAGCCTTAAGTGTAAATAACTGCACTCGAAAGGCATTCATCCAGATTGGTGCAGCGTACAAGGGTGGTACTGACAACATTAGCCTTCACTATCTTAAGTATGAGATGGACATATACTACTCTGAGTACCAAGTATTTTGCTCAAATACTGATCCTTTTTAAATACCAAAAATATATTTACAAATTTAGTTGATGATAGACAATCAAGGGAAGTAGTGATTAAATTCCTAACAGTGGTTAAATTTGAGTAAAATGCAAGTTACTTGGTACTCAAATTAGTTTTTATACCACACTTTTTATCATACTGTAGCCTGGCATCAATATGTACACTCGCTATAAGTACTGATTAAGTTTTATGACCAACAAGCTGGAGATGAAAGCCACTGGTAAATAGTAACACCATTATAGTAATACAGAATTGTAATGCAAACTTCGTATTAATCTCTTCCAATTTAGCATGAACAATCATTGAAAGATTGTCTGTAAAACCTTATATAATAATTCTGACATAGAGAACCTAAGTAACATATTGTACATCACATTCCATAGCAAGAGCTCTAAAACCCCAACTGTGATTTTGCAGGTTATCGGTTCAGGATTTTATTTCAGGACTTAATCAGAAAAATAAATAAAAATAGTCCTTATGAGGTAATGTGGAACTACCATCCTTTACAATCACACCTTGTTGAATTAAAATTTATGTTTCATCTATAATTTAATGAGACAATAAATAAAAATCATGAAGTGTATACTTACATTTTTTGTAAACTTCGTTGACAGCTCCAAAATCATTTATGTCATCAAGAAAAACAGTACTTTTTATTACTGAAACAAAGTAGCAAATAAAGAACCAACTCAGATTGTGTTAATTAAAATACCAGTTTAAAATTATATTGTTTCTATTTTATTTCCTAAAAGTACTTTATTATTATATTTTCTCATATTACAGATTAAATATGAAATTTAAAATTCAGTTTAAACAGGTTAAAATGTAACACATACAATTGAGAAAATTAATGCATTAGAAAAGGAAGACTTGGTCTCCACATAATTTGTAGAAACCAAATCTTCCTTTTAAACATAATGACAGGTTTGCTTAAGACATTTTTTTTTGGGTGTTTGAATTAGGGAATCGCCAACCTTTATCAAATTATGGAGGGGCTTTGAATTGTTTGTTCATAGATGTGTTTTAGTAATAGAACTTTATTACTTGCATTTTGAAGAACAACCTTAATAGGTTGGTATACTATCAATTTGTTAGTATCAGGTAAACAAAAAGGACAACATATAGGTCAACATCAGCTGAATGAACACCTCTTGAATTTGGAACGGACAGATACCAATCTGCAGTGTATGCATAATGAAAGATGAAACTGCTTATCTTACTATATGCAATAGTGATGCTCTAGCTAGAATACAATAAATCCATTATGGCTGTAACTGAATTATGTATTCTAAGCTATGTGAATTCACTGGCCCACATAATTTGAGTAAATTTACAAAAAATATTGGCCTGTCTCAACAGAGTATGGGGCAGAGCACAACACGTCTTAATGTTATGACAATAGATGTTAATCTCACTTTTAAATCAGCTAATTAAATATATATTGTAAACAGTTAGCATATAAATTATCTGTAAAAATATATTACAATGAAAGGTATTATAAGGTCAGTAAAGCAGATAAAAAATTAATACAAAAATTTAAAATATTAATAATATTTGGTTAAGGTAAAACATTAACACAAATATTTAAAATATTGTGTTAATTGAATAATAATAATTTGTTTTCAATAGTGAAATTGTTAGAAAGTGGGATGTTATAATACCACAATGTAAATTTACATACTTACAAAAGATTAATTAAATAAACAAGAGATAATGATGGAAGCCTGCTTAAAATACAAGATGCCTCAAATATTATTTTTCTAGGATCAATTCAATCAATTATTTTTTGTTGATAAAAAAGGTTAACAAACCATAAAAAAAATTAGAAATGACTATATACCATTTGCAAGAAATTTATATATACACACATTTTTTCAAACGATAGAAATCACCTAAATTAAAAAGTAGTAGATTGAAGTTATTTTTATCTAACACGGATTTATTATTTAAACACCATTTGCATTGCAAGATTAATTTCTAAAACCAGCAGATAAGTATGAAGAATCTAAGCAGATTATTTAGTGAAAACATAAAGATAACTAACCACTTTCTTATTTGACATTATAGAAATTTAAAAAATAAATATGAGATGTAATTTTAAAAGTGACATTTTATATTGATCTATATTTAATAGAATTTAATAGAATAAAAAAAAAACCTTACATAATTTATCTTTCTAAGATTTTTTTTTATAATTACCATCATATTATTTATTATATTATATTATATAACTTATATATATGTATAAGTTCTCATATTTTATTTTGAAATAAATATTATGTACATAATATCAAAGTTTCATTATTAAGATGATAAATATTATACATTAAGGAATTCTGTTTATTAATTTTTTTTTTTTTTTTGTTGCTCAAATAGAGTTTTATGATGGAGAGTTTTTCAAATAGTAAAATATTTTAAAAACTTTAGTGTTAAAGACTCATTAAAAAAAAAAACTTGAAGAATACAAATAATTAAAATAGTATAAAATACTGAAATGGCACTAATATAGAAAATGGGCCTTTTTCCCCATTGAATCATAACCAATTTCTTAACTTCCCTGGAATTCCCTATGAAGTAATTCTGTGAATGATGCATTTTTAAGAGCAATTATTTATTTGATAGGTGCAATTTTGGCCAAATTTGATATTACAAAGAAATCCTGAAAATAGATAAAACGAAATAGTTATATAAATATATAATATCATCGGTTTATTGCAAAAAGTCACTTAGTACATTTTTGATGAAGATTAACTTTCAAATATAGTTTTTTGAATTTTGACTTAATTTATCGAGATAAAAACACTGTAAGTAATTGAAAACGAAACGAAACCTTTTATATATAAAATATAGATAAAACAACTACATAAATTTCTTATTTCATAAAGAGAAAATTGTCACTTTATGACTTTTTGTAATAAACTAATGATATAAACAATTAAACAGTGTTTCTTAATTAAATTTATGTAAAAAAAATATAAACAGAATGATAGCTGTCACAGAACTACCTGTGTTTAAACTGTTATTGTATTTTGCTGTTTTAACATTGTATTTACAATCTATACTAAAGTGTGTTTAACATGCATATGTATGTCAGAGAAGAATGAGCAATAAGCCTTATTTCTTAATTTTCAAGTAAAATATCCATTAAAAATAAATAAATATGTATTAAATTATGATTTAATGATTATTTATATATGTAGATTTTAGTTTTTTTACAAGTTATCATAGCATATATTAAGATTATGGGATAGTACATAAGATAATATATTGTGAACGTAAGAATTAAATTAGTATTTTACCATATATATTAAATAGATTCATATATTAAATAAATAATGGGTTCCTGATTCAGATGAATTTAGATATCATGCTGAAAAAATATAGACTTAATTATGGTTAGACTTAATTTTCAATAATCAATTGAAAAATTAAAAAAAAGAAAACCTTTAGAGAGTGATGAATCAGCAGCAAGTAAAATATTTTCAAGATTCTTCAGGGCCAACTCAGTTTCAGCGGCAGCTCCTCCAAGAATTAATTTCATACTATCTTTATCCAATCCAAGACATCCAGAAACGTACAATGTTTGACCCACTTGAACAGCCTGACTATTAGATAAATAAATTTATGAAAAACTGATATTAATAAATACAAGATAAATTAAATTTTTGAAACTTAAAATTACCTATATGGTCCAACTGGTTTAGGTGCATTGGGAGTTGTAATTATTTTTCTTATTAGACCAGCCATTGCCACACAGCTTCTCTTGATGGAAAATGGTAGTTAACTGAATACAGAAGAAATGAAACTGACTGACCTTGCAGCCTTGATCCTACAACTCATCATTCTAATACTTTATCAGTGTTTCATTTTAGAATTAGTAAGATAACTAGTGAGGATAAATATAGTTCATAAGAGTTCATCAAAGTTTTAGTATCTATCTCATTAAAAATCTGAACAATACAAACAGATAAAGGAGATCAATGAATCTAATATATGAATTCCTAATGTAGAATAAATGTAATACATCTTTATATTTGGGCATAACTAAGTAGTCTGTAACATTACATTTCAATTTTCGTGGTTTCCTTGAAAGATAAAAAAAGAGAATAGAAGCCATTTTTTAAATTATATTCTAAATATAAAAGGCATAGAAAACCTATAAACTCAAAGTTCTGTTCAGAAATATTTTTATTAAATTAAAACTTAATGGATTTCAAATATGTTCCAAGTAGTTAAGAAAAACACCGCAAGAGTGCAATCAACTCATTCTGTTTACAAATAGAAGGTTTCAGTGATGTCTATATAACCTTTCCTCTGACACACGTGAGAGTTGTCATTTTTTCATTTTTTATATTAAGTTTTACTTTGCCATGAAGACCTCTTCTGAGAAACCTGACTTCGATTCATTACTGGGAGGAGATGTCAAAATTCCACAAAGTGTTTCTATCAAGCCATTTATTAGAGCAAGAATGGATGAAATAGAAGCATTAACCCAGTTAATTGGTAAGATATTCTTGAATAACCTTGTTAGATAACATTTACTGGAGTATTTAATTACAAATTATCATTTTCAGAAACTCCTAGTAACAATATACTTTTGAAGCAAAAATTTCCTAAACATATGAGAAGGAGGGCAATGAGTCAAAATGTTAAACGGATTCCCAAAAGATTGAGAGAACATCACATAGATATGGTAAGTATAATGTCATTATTAGTTTTCTTCAATATTAATTATCTTGGTACTAGTTCACAACAGTTCCGCACGGATTACGCGTGGTTCACAATCACTTCGATCACACTTGTTCATGGAATCCCGAAAACAGCCGAATGTTGTCGTCTTTTATGACGTCAGCTATTTCCCCATCACACAACCCCTTTTCATGCATTTTTGAAAAAAAAAAACCAACGTATTCCCTCCATGGAACTTCCTTACTAACAATTTATTAACGAATTGTGTATTTACTAATTAGTCAATTATTAATTTTGGTACTAGTTCACAACAGTTCCGCACGGATTACGCATGGTTCACAATCACTTCGATCACACTTGTTCCTGGAATCCCGAATGCGTTCGTGTTTCTCCGAAAGAGAACGAAGGCGACCGATCTCTTGGGCCAGTTACTATTAACTTTCCCGCCATTTAAGTACTTTAACCTTAACCACGTTCAGTTATATAGCAGGAGCAGATTTACATTCGAAATTTAGGCTACACATCATGAAACCTGAATTAAGCTTGTACATATATTATAGATCTGTAAAAAAGAAATAGTAATACATAAACATCTTTAATTATTACATCTCTGACTGCTATTTCACGATATTATTTTTCTTATAGATGATTTCCAATATTCATTATCTTGGAATTATTACATATTCTTCGTCAGTTGTTTCCCAAATACGTTAATTCCTTTCTCGAAAATAAATACATTTTTTTTGTACCATAGCCTACAATAATCCCTTTTTTTCGGATTACCAAGAAAAATAACTGCGAATAACAATAATTACACATCATAATTACAAATCAGACAGTATATGCATACAATGCGCCCCCCTCCACTAGAAAATAGCCCCTCGTATTATTAGAAATCTAAAAAAATACATAAACTAGATAGACGATTGCGCAATTCTAAAAAAGGCTTGCTAAAATAAATTATAAATTCAATTATTCCAACTTCTATTGAAAAACTCGAATAACAAAAAAAAAAGATAATAGATAACTTAAAATTATTTATTATCCAAATGATAAAAAATCTTTTATACACAGTTATAAAAGATAATATACAGTATATGCGTATTTACAGCCACTACATGTAAGCACGTGTCAATAAAAATGTTATTACTAAAAGCTTTTTTTTTTAATAGGGCTTGAAGAAACTACTCAAACATTATTTTATGTATTTTTTTCTTTTTCTTTCAAAGTAATAACCGTTATAATAAAAATTAATAATTAACTAATTAGTAAATACACAATTTTTTAATAAGGAAGTTCCATAAAGGGAATACGTTGTATTTTTTTCAAAAATGCATGAAAAGGGATTGTATTATGGGGCAATAGCTGACGTCATAAAAGACGACAACATTCGGCTGTTTTCGGGATTCCATGAACAAGTGTGATCGAAGTGATTGTGAACCACGCGTAATCCGTGCGGAACTCTTGTGAACTAGTACCTTAATTTTTATTATAATGGTTATCATTGTGAAGTAAAAAGAAAAAAATAATGTTTGAGTCGTTTCTTCAAGGCCTGTTAAGATTTTTTTATCATTTTCATAATAAATAATCTGAAGTAATCTATTATCTTTTTATTTGTTGTTCGAGTTTTTCAATCGAAGTCGAATAATTGCATTTATAATTTATTTTAGCAAGCCTTTTTTAACTATTTTTAGTTAAAAACGATCCACTATTTTCTAATCGTCGGAGCTTTTTATGAATATACTGTCGGATTTAAAATTGTTCGTCGATTTTTTGTAGATTTTTGGATTTCTAAGATATAAGAGTCCACTATTAAGATGTCAAAGACGCTTTTTATGAAAATAATGTCAGATTAAAGATTTATGAATATACTGATAATTCCAAGATAATGAATAATGAAAATCATCAATAAGAAAAATAATATCGTGAAATAGCATTCAGAGATGTAATAATTAAAGGTTTTTATCTATTACTGTTTCTTTTTTACAGATCTATGATATATGTACAAGTTCAATTCAGGTTTCATGATGTGAAAACCTTAATTTAGAATGTAAGTCGGCTCCTGCTATAGAACTGAACATGGTTAAGGATATAGAAGTACTTATTAAATGGCGGGAAAGTTAATAGTAACTGGCCCAAGAGATCGGTCGCCTTCGTTATCTTTCGGATAAACCCGAACGCATTCGGGATTCCAGGAACAAGTGTGACCGTAGTGATTGTGAACCATGCGTAATCCGTGCGGAACTCTTGTGAACTAGTACCATTATCTTGGTTGGTACCACTGTACAAATGCCATTCTTCCTTGTGGAGTGATCCTTGATCTCTTGTTCACAGTATAAATGAAGTCTCGAGAAAGGCTGAGTGTGTTAAAAAATATATAGAAGTGACTGAAATATTAGGTAATTGTCCGGACCTCCACTGAAAAACAACCATTGAGGGTTTTCTTGATCTTTTTAGAGAAAGCATAGCAAGTAAAAGTTAAGATCAGTAAAGTAATTAAAGCTAATTAAGGCCCCGATTTACCTGGAAAAGGCCAGTAGGTAGTTTGCTGAAGTCGTAAATCGCGATCTAAATAAAGGGAGGTGAACATGTCTATTCTTGGTTATTCTCAATTCCATTTATACTGCAAACAAAGGATTTTGACCCATTAGACAAAGTGGAGTGATATTTGTACAGTGGTACCATTATTTAGTTAATTGTTTATTTGAAGGCTGATAAAAAAAATCTATTGATTCCATAATTTTGCATACCCAAGGTGATTCGATAATCTTTTGATTTAGGTGCATGATGTCCTTAGTACCACGTCTGTAACAATTGAGTGAATGGCTTGACTAACATTACATTCCCATTGAAAATTAAAAATGCTTGTTGTATTATTGATAAATAAGTCAATTATGCCAGCCTCATGGGGGTTGTGGGGTATAGACACTAATCAGATTTTAGCCATTCTCTAAAGTATGAACTCAGCCGATCTGGTCAGTATGATTTAAATCATCTTAAAGATATGCCCAAATCTATTTGCCATTAAACCACAGTAGAACCTCTATCGAAACGGCGTGAGCGAGCTGCAATGTGCCTTTATGAGTTAATGAAAAGAATGGACCAAGAGTTTTGGAAAAAATACAAAATTCCCTCTCAACGGCTCAAGACACAAAAATCCTTCATGCTGAAGGCGATGGCACTACTTGAAGAAAGAGGGATTGACTGCGAAGAAAGGGAACCATTTATACATCCACAGTTACCAATTCACAATCACGCATGCAATGCAGAACTGCAACTCCTTCATAAGGTGGATAAGAAAGAAACACCTGAATACGAGCTAAAAGCATTAGCATTAGAAACCATAGCTCAAAAGTACCCTCCTCAAGATTGGCTCCATATCTATACCGACGGATCAGCTGAATCAGCCGTTAAAAATGCTGGAGAAGGGGTTTACTCAAGGGAATTCCAAATCAGTGCTGCGGTGGATAAAGATGGAACAAATTTTGACGGTGAGATAGCGGTGATCCTCATAGCCTTAAGAACATTGTCTAGAAGGCGGGATCAGAGCGTTGTTCTCTTCATCGACTCCCAAGCAGCCATCCTCGATGTTACAAGCAGGAATAAATGTTTATCGAGTGCTATATTGGAATCTAAATCTCTCCTCTCTAACCTGACACACCGAGGCACCAATGTGGTCCTACAGTGGATCCCCTGCCATTGTGGGATTCCGGGAAACGTTGAGGCTGATATTCTTGCCAAGCGAGGAACAGATTTGTCTCAGCTGATACATCCAAAACCCTACGACTCAATACGGCGAATGGTAAAGATGGTGGAGAAGGAAGAAATAAGAAAAGCACATTTCGGCAAAGTGGAAGGGAAACGTTACGAGAGGTTGAAGGATAATCCGATTCCAGCTGAGCTGCCAAGAAGAGATGCAGTTGCCTGCTTCCGTCTGGCCACTAGTCACGACTATCTGCAGAGTCATCTCTACAAGATAGGCGTGGCTGAGGATCCTACCTGTAAATTGTGTCATCAAGGAACAATGGATGCAGACCATCTAGACGCATGTTCTGCCTTGAGGGACATAAGAGAAAAAATATTTTCAAATATATATATATATATATTGTAATGTCAACATTACATGGCATTTAAATAGTGGCGCGAAAGTGGTAACAGCACGAACTACGGGGAGGAAGTGCGTGTGGATGGTGGGAGAAGCAAGCCTCATGTAACTCAGAATGTGACGGGCCGCCAAGAGAGAAGGTGATAGCGGCCAAGTGTGAAGGTGCTAGCCAGCAAGCTGAGAAAGTGAAAAAGGAGTCCTAGACGGTTCGAGTGTTGATAAAGGTCACTAGTGGAGATTATTTAAAGTTGGAAGAAAAAAAACATAGCAGAAAAGAATTAAGTGGTACAGAAAACGGAACATTCATAAGTAAGAAGAGATTATTTCACTGACAGGCGTAAACACTTGGGTGAGTGCTAACAATGCCATTTATGTGGACAGAGGGATAGAACCAAAAGTTTAGAACGGGACAAATTATTTTATAAAACTATTTTAAATTATATGTAACTGTAATTAGTAAATTAGTGTAGATTATAGTTATTTAATGTTGAATGAGTGTTCAGTTGTCAGGACCCAACCTGAGATTTATGTTATATGTCAAAATAAATAGTATTTTGAAAAAGGAAACTCATTTTTTGATTTTGGAGGGAAAGAGGAACGTTACAATATATATATCAGAAAGTCTAAATTATACTGGGCAGCAAGATGTTGGATGGCCAAATGACCAACGACTGGCATAAGAAAAAAAAAAATTGCCATTATCATTTAATAACGTAACACACTCTGTTAAAAATGTTTATGCCACGATGGCAGATTAATAATAATAGTTTACCTTTAATTTCATTGAAGTTTTCGACAACTTATGGACAAAAATAATATCTACACTGTGTATTATACAATAGTATTGATTCCTTTTCCGGCTCTCAGGAGCAATGGATTTTTATGAATAAGATATCAAACGAAAGAGAATTTCATGGAGAAGTGATGTATCCCAATTTGAAAACATGAAACCTTACTAGAACTATAATATCAGTCATTTAAAAGTTTTGAAGGTTTCAAAACTTTATGTGGATAAATTGTGTTTTGAAGTTTTCAATGTGGGCATAATGACCCGGTATAGTTCCAAAGGACCATAAGGCCCTGTGGTACTTGTGAGTTAGCCAGTCGCCATGGACTGCTATCCGTCTTTGTTTATAACCTAAACACTGATAATGCTGATACTGATAATATCTATCTTTTTATTCATATTTATGGAAATTGGAATATACATAAAGAAATGTAATAATAGCAAAACTCTTTTATATTACAACATTTTTAATACACTCTAATAGAGTTGCTACTTTTCTGTCTTTTGTTTTAATAATGAAGCACTTGTCAGTTTCTGGAAAACTCCGCCAAACATCTATTGTTCATGGAACACTCTCTCTACATGATTTTTTCTCTCTTTAACGACATCAATACATAATCTAATTCAACAATAAATTATGGTTAACCTGAATCTTGAAGAAAGAGAAATTTAAAAAAAAATTAAGGACTAATATAAATACTAGAAAATTTTAAGATAATTCACAAAAGAAATACAAAAAGGTATCAACAATTAAGCGATAAATAATTAAATATATTTGTTTAAATTCTCCTTAAATTGGTTAGTTGACTGGCACATACAAAGAATGAAGTAATGTAGAGGAACTAAAAAGATTAAAGGTATGAAGGATAAGTATATATTATATATGTCAGACCAATTGATTTCAGATATTTAATTTTAATTAAAAATAATATATGTACATACATAATTATAAATTGTTCACATTATAATGAAAACTTTATTTTTTAATCAAATTGAAATTTACTATGTTATACATTTCGAAATTCGTTTCTGAAAAATTGTTTCTCCATTCCTTAATATGTCTTTTAATTGAGAAAAAGAGCGTTCAGTATTAACTGATATAAGGGGACTCATTTTGTAACAAGAAACCATTGCTGGTTCTTTGTCAGCATTAACATTTATACTGTTAATGCAGTCGTTATGTTTTTTTTTTATAAGATCGTAACTAGTATTTTTTTCTATTACAGAGTATAAAGTTTTTGAGACATAATTTTTCCTATTTTACTATTGATTTTGTAAAGATTTTCTCATACAGTTTCTATAATTTCAATTTGTTTATTAAGTGACCAATTTTGAGATTCTAACTGAGTTAATGTTGGCAAAAAATTTGACAAATGTGATTTTATGCATAACAAATCGGATATTATATCGAATTCACGATTCACATCAAAGCCGGAAGGGACATTGAATGATTTAAGAAAGAGTAAGAATTCAAGTCAAAACAAGAAAGTAGTTTTTTAATTAAATTACTTCAGTCAAGTCCTATTCCAAGAATAGTCAGTCTGCACTTGTGTTTACTTCGTCTGCAACGTTAAATTTGTATCTTTGGCTGTACAGTCACTGAATTATTTACCTTCCTCATATTTTTCTTTCTAAAATTATAAATTTTATATGGACAAGATAGTAAAATAAAAAAATAAATATTTAAACACACTTAAATATTTATAAATTATTTAATCTAGCACAAAATGTGCAATTTAATGCAACAAAAACCAAAATGATGCAATTTAAACCAAAAATGGAAAATGTGTAATTTCATGCAAAATAAAATTTAAATATGTTATTCTATAGATCCCGTTTTTACACGCAAGCGAATAGAATGTGCAATAGCATGGAAATCCGGTCTCTAGTTATTACATGTTCAGGCTTTAAAAATTCCTTTCAGTCCAAAGTCCTTCGAACAATAGTTGATGCTCCATTCTATGTAACCAACCAAACCCTACATCATGACCTTAATATCCCATTTGTCCTAGACCTCAGAAATCCCTCAAAAATTTTCCAAATTCCACCAAAACCTTACATATCATCCTAATCCAATTGCACAATCCCTCTCTAGCACTACTCATCCCTACAATCCTCCTCGAAGGGTGAAGCGGAAGTGGCCCAGAGACTTGTTGTAAGAATATATAGAAGTTATGGCAATGGCCAGATTCTCCACTCAAGCCATGTATTTCTGGTTTATTTATTTTGTTAGATTGGTTTATTTTTATTTAGTTTATATACAATTTACTTTAGTATTGCCATATTGCCGTTTATTATTTTTATTTATTGTATGGTACGAATGAGCTACTCTATATCACTATTACTATTTTCCTTGAATGTGACAGATTGTAATATCTCAATAAAGAAGTTTAAAAAAAAAAAATTCTAAGATTGCTATTTATGATATATTTCGATGAACTAAATATCTATTGAAAAGGTTAATGGAGGAGAATAACTCTATGATTCCTTGGATGGCACAATGGATTAAGTAGAAATAAAATAAAGAATATAAAAATATTCAGGTTTGGTTTCTATAACATCAATAATAAACTTTTATACCCTTAAATGAGAGAATTTGAAATCTTCGGCTCTTTTGTACCAAACAAATAGGTCTTGAGCAAGTACAATAGTGGATTAGTATAAGTTATGAGGTAGCTGTTTGTTATTACCCAACTATTAATCTGAAGGGATATTTATCAGTGTGACAAACTAATCACTTACTAACTAAATTGTTACTTTACTGTTTAATTAAAGACTGTTCTTAATACAGTATGAAGCTTAACCTATAATAGTGGTTAAATAGTTGACTGTCGTGGGTAATGAAGAGAAGAATAGTTGGGGTGGTCAGTCAAAAAAGAAGGCAAAAATAAATGATATTTATTTTTATTTTAGTAAAAATAAATATTATCATTTATTTTTGCCTTCTTTTTTGACTGACCACCCCAACTATTCTTCTCTTCCTTAACCTATAATGTGGCTGAATGTACTATTTGGTTATATTAATTGTTTATATGAATAAACATGTTTCGCTGGTGTCGCTTATACATTGAATGCATTAGAAAGAAAGATAGCTATCTGATGTAATAATTCTTAGTGGGGTGTACTAGTAAAGAAAAATAGTGTGAAATTAAAACACTCATATGTAATTAGATGATTTTTTTCTTTCTTGTTTATAAAATATTTTAATTAATTTTTTTATATTTTTGCAATAGAGGGAAAAGTCTGGAATACGAGAAGTACCCATTAAAAGACCAAGAAGAAAATACCGTAGAAGACCTCAAAACCTCTTAAGTGACTATAACAGACGTCAGAAAGAATTTATTTGGCTTGAAACCCACATATGGCATGCAAAAAGATTCCATATGGTTGAGAAGTGGGGTTATAAATTGGCTGATTTTCCCAATGACAAAAGTTATAGAGCTTGCTATCGGGCTACCACAAAACATTGCCTAATTCAGGTATTACAAGTTTTAATTGTTTTATTTTCTTTACCATGTAATAAATTATATTTTCCTTTGTGATCATCTTTACAGGAAATAATTATATGAGGCATATCTACTTTTAGGCAGGGGTGCCATGGATTGCGGATAAACATTAAAGAACGTTATTTAAATTTTAATTTAATCTTTTAAAAGACAATTTTGTTTTCATTTTTTAAAAATATCTTTGTTTTCTTCCTCACACAACGGTTGTGTCCCATACGGAAACTATAAAAACTAAATAAAACAACGCTGATGAAAGCCGGTAAAGAACTGGGCCTAGAAATTAATACAGGTATAACAAAATATATAATTAGCTGCTTAGATTAAAAATGGGGATTATTTTGGTGATAATAGATATTGAAGCAAATATATTTAAGCACGTAGAGCAATTAAGGTATTAAGATCTATGATGAATAAGAAAAATACATTAAAGAGTAAATTAAGACTACGCTAAATGCTGGAGTTGGTAGTTATTTTTCAGTTGCAAAATTACTTAGCCTTCCATCTTCTATCCTGAAATTTAAAAATTGACAAATAATACTTTTTACGGTTCTTTACAATGTGAAAAGTGGTCACTTATTTTAAGAGATGAACATCACCTTAGGGTTTTTGAAATTAAGTATTGCTTAAAATAAGGACCGAAGAAGGACGAGTTAACCTCATAATTTAGGCTGTTATGCGACGCCGAATTACGTGATTTGTACACAATGAATGTAATTAAGATTAATGTAATTAATTAATTGATTTGCGGCAATCCAATTAAAGGTTTATTTGTACGGAGACCACTGGCAAGCTTTCTAGATGTATACTGAAGGTGGGAGGATTGTGTCAAGACTGATCTTGTGGGGTTAGGTTTGGATAGTGGCCAGTGGATAGAAGTATGTAGACAGCGATTCGTAGCAAGGGAATCAAACTTTCAGTATAGTTACGTCTTTGCTATTATTATTTCTCTTTTTCTATTTAAACATGGGGTAATAGGCTGTCAGCAGATTTAAGATAAGAGTTGGAGGGGCACCGAAAACGCACACGATGGCCGCGCTTATATGAAACGTTTGTTTATTATTTTTATATAAACAGTAACTGAAAGTGTACCTCTGAAAGTGCTGCACCTGCTTGAAAGTGCTGACAACAAACTTTAAATGAATGATTCTTTAAATAGGATATATCTAGCATCTTATAATTTGAGAATAGCTTGATGGTGGAGAGATTTTCTTACCAAAATTTATATAGATTAAATGTTATTGTCCAACACATGTTATAGTTTTAATTTCCTTTATTTTTCAATCTGCACATGTTATTATATTTAATAATTATCAGCAAATGTGCTGGCTAAACAATAGGATGAGAGAAAGAAGCGTAAATAACTAGATAAAATAAAATAAATCAAAGAGAAGAGGCTTGATTGGCATGAAGAAGAAAATTCATTAAATTAAAATAAAAAGTTTGTTGTGATTTATGGATTTCTACAGCTTATTTTACCTCTCTTATATTTTTTATTTTGTTCGTGTAATTATGTATGATATTACAAAACTTTTATTGGTATTTTAAGAAACAACAGTGTCATGGTGTTTGATGAAAACATTTTTGGAAACGTAAAATGTCATTTATAAAAAGTTTTTACAAAACCTTTTGAATAAGGATTATAAATAAGAATAATTATTTCTTAATTTTTTAAAAATAATTTTGTAAGAATGTAGTTGAAGTCAAATCTGTACATAAACTTTAGATTCCAGCTATTTACAGTAAAATTTATATTCTTATTTCTAACCTGTGTTTTGATCTTCCTATGATTAAGCAAATTAGTGATCTGTTATTGTTCGTTATTAAATTGTTTAGTACACTCTAGTTAATTAAAGTTATGTTAAAGAAATAGGAAGTAAAGCAATGCTAAATAAATTAGGATGCATAATATTTTTTAGATGAGAGCGTATTTGTAATACAGACAAAGCTCCTTGTTCCTGGTTCTGTTATTTGTGGATTAAAAGAATTTAAACCACTTCTTTTATTCATGGCTGAAAATTTCTTTATCAATGGATCACAAACATATGTAAATATTATATTTTTATAATATGTATTTATTTACCAGCTACCTTTCAAAACAATTGTTTAAATAAAGTATCTAAAAAAAAACAAGTCTCATTGTCCCTTAGCCTAAAGAATTTTGACAAAACGCTAACCAAATTACAGGAATAGCAATGGCTACAAAATGAATCTTATGTTTTTGTATTTAAGATAGGTATGCACCTGAGACGTTTCAGTAACTTTTTTGTCAAAATTGACATATCGGCATAGATACTTTTATACCATCAAATTTAAACATTTTTAAAACTTTTTGAAAATGGCTCTAACAATTTTGATTAAATTTGTTATATTAGTGTAAAATCAAAGGATGTTTGATATCAGGCTAATGTTATCTTCATTGAAATAGTCTGACAGGGCCTTTGTGCTGAATTATCCAAATTGTTTCCTCCAAAGTACCTATAATTTTGTTTATTTAACACAATAAATCACGTGCACACTGAACCAGATTTTTCTCCTATTTGATTAATGTTGTTACTTATCAGCTTAGAGTCATAAAGCTTTGGCTAGGGTCTGACTCGTGAATTAGTCTTCTCTTCTCTGAGACAGATTATTAATTATCCAACCTTCTGTGGTCATCATAGTGTCCTCAAGGAAAACATGTTAATTCCCAAATAAATTATATAATTAATGTGTATCACTCTTTATGTTGTTTTATATGAACTGCTTCAATTATACTTTTATAATTAATTTATATTTCTTATACTTATTTAGTAATGCTTTCTTCTAGGATATTTCTTTTTACTGCTGTATAGAACTTAGTGGCTTATTGAATGATATTCTTGAAGGTATGGAAAAACATACTAGCAGTGAATGTGGACTTACTTTTTGTTCAAAATACATTCAGTCCGGGAAAACTGAGGGGCATGTTACATTTTTTAAATCAGGAAGATACCCTTATGGAGCTATTGGAGAAATAAACTATATTTGGCAGCCTTGTTCACAAATATCAGAAACAGACACTCTGGTATTATGGCTATGGTGTCATCCATCATATTATTCAGAAATTTTGGAAGAATTGATAAAATCTTATGGTTTAGATCAAAATGAAGAAAATCAAAATTTAGATTTTATGGAAGAAGACGATACCAAAACTGTTGAAGATATAAAACTAGAAATAAAAAATATTCCATTTGGAAAATGTCCAACATATCATTCTAGGATAAATTCAGTTAAAATGGTTCTGTTAAAGGATACCCTAAATTGTTTCCGTCTTACAGGCCCTCTTTCACAGGCATTACTAACTTCCTGTTTCAAAGAAATAGACCTGTCTAAAAGAACAGTCTGTGATTGGAGTATGCAATTCAAAGATAAAATAGACATTTTTAAAAAACAATTATTATTTTGGGAGAAAATGAAAAATATTACGCATCCAGGACAGCTTCCACCAAATTTAGTGTTTGGTTTACTTGCAGTTGATCCTAGATTAACTATGCCACATCATAAAAACAAAGCTGTTGGCAATATTTCAGGTACACAGGGAATTAACATATTTTCTATTATTGTTTATAAAATAAATATTCTATTATTTTAATAATTCTCTTTTAGATTTTAGTTGTCAATCTCTTCACTCAATTGAAGAAGGCTTATCGTACAGTCCAATATGGTCAAGCAAAGTGCGTGATGAAGTATCGGCTAGTAAATTATCTACTCAACGTCTGAATGAGCTAAGATCTGAAAAACTGATTCCAGGGATTGAAGTTGAATTGAACAATGAGAATATTAATAACTTTCCAGCTGTTCCTTGCTTATTTATACATAGGCCAGGAACCCACATGGATGGTAAACCTACAGGTATGTATGTATTTCAATAATGCTTAAATTAAATAAACCTAATATGTTATAAATAAAAAATCAAAATAATGATAAGTCTTTCAAACATGAGTTGATGACAATTTATTAACAAGGTTTGAAATATGTTTTATAATTTCATTGAAATTATACCTGAGGGATTTCGGGGGAAATTGATGAGATTGAAAAAGGCGTATACAAATGGCCCTAATTGTTGAGTTATAATTCAAGAAAAAGTATCTGAATCCTTTAAAGTTCAAACTTGTTTACAGCAGGGAGATGGACTCTCACCGATGTTGTTAACTTCGTGATGAGAAGATGATAAGAACAACTTCCCATGAAAATAGAGGGAGTACACACCAGAATGAATCACAAAATCCGTGGAAATAGAGTTGATATATATAGCTATCCTTGGAAGCAATAAAGAGGACATTGAGAAACTCGCTAAGACTGTGATAAGAGAAGCAGAGCAAATCAGCATACATAAGGGTGCCCAGAAGGGGATTCTATGGCGCAAATTGTCCCATCAAACTTTTTGAGGAGGCATATTTTAACGGGTATTTGCATTTTGGGGGGAGGGTAAGCACATTTCAACGTGGGTTGTGAATTTTTGGAATGAAAAGTTTCAGAATAAGGGACAGGAAGAAAACATGAAACAGATCGCAGCAAGTGTAATTGTGTATGTGTATGAACTACGATTTTTCTAATTCTACTTTCCTTTCCTCTGTTTTAATGGTAAGTAATGGACCTCAAAACGTGTATGTCCGTTGAAAACTGAGATTCAAAAATTTTCTCTTATCATATATTATATTTATTGGTAACTGAAAGTAAAAGTAAAATTGAAAAGCTTTGTGTTCTGAAAGCTTGATTTAAAAGGATGAGAAATATTATACAAGGGAGTCGAATAATGTATCTTGTATGTTATAGCTTGTATGGTAGTCTCGGACCCATATAATATGCCAATAGGTTACTTTATACTAAGGGAAATAAATGAAACACGATTCCTTTAGGATAGGAGTGTCCAAACTTTTTGGCCCACGGACTGCATTATGGCTTGCTATGAAAAAAAATATCCTGTTTTATAAATGACACTTCAGCTGTGAAATGAGCTTTTTAAGAGAAACAATTCATGCAACAAATGTAGTAACCTTGTGTTATTTACTAAATTTTGAATTTTTTAAATAGTTTTTAAAATTTTACCATTTAATCACTGAAACTTTTGAAGGATGAATCCAACCCAGGCAACTAGCCTGAACTTGTGAGGAAACAGACTTATGCTCCCTAGGCATCATACATTGGAGATGTATGAGTATAACTGATTGAGATGAGTTGTTCTTTTTGAAGAACACATTATGAAACATGATGAACACTCCATAAAGAAGAAACCTATTGTTTGTTCATAGTGTTAAGCAATTTTTTTTCACACTATTCATTTTTAGTATTACTATATGTACAAAAAAAAAAATGTGTTGACAGGATACAGCAGTGGGTGGGACATCATAGTACCTGCTGGTTATGGCCAACCTGTGTGGCTTGGACTCGTGATGCATGGAGGTCGAGCTGGAGGTCTCAAAGAAACAGCGAGTATTTCAAGAGAGGCTGGAATATTATATCAACACCCTGATACAGCTGCAGGAAAGTTAGAAGATGAACATAGAAAAAATGAACTGACTAAAATATTTTTCAGGTAACTTTTTCACATCTTTTGTTAACATATTATTGGCATATGGTGTATTTTTTCAATATTAGAACACTGCTTGTGAGACTAAATTATCTGTTCTCATCTACACTATTTATAATACTGTAGTATAGATCCATTTTCCGGCTCTCGGGAGCAATGGGTTTTGATGAATGAGGTGATGGAATATAATATATATATGGGAGAAGTGATGGATTATAATTTCAAACTTAAAACCTTTAAGTTAACTATTTAATTAATCAAATGCAATGACTAAGTCATCATTTTGAAGATTATTTTCTTCTTCAGGTGTGAAAAGTAAGCACTACCTCCACAATTTGAATAATTTATGTAAAAAGCAACCTCAATTAAAGTAGTTAAAGACACAATCACAACTACCTATCCAGTCCGAATAGTCAATAGTTTCAAAGTTATGAGGAGCGACAGAATTAGAATTAAGAAAATTTAGCTTTTTTTGATCAATTTACAGCAGTTTATAAATTTTTTTTATCAGGTTAACTTCATCAAATTCAAAACTAGCATTCTTGACATATATGTTAGTAATTATGTATCCAATATAATCGAATAGTTATCCAGAATTGAAGAACAATGGTTTTTGACAGTGATACGAGGAAACTCATAACATAAGACAGAAAGTGTTAGGAGGCCACTTTTAATCCTCCATTTCGGATAGAAGCAGACATCGAAAATGAAGGGACTTTTCATGGTTTGTTCTGCTTTCGATGAGGAGCTAACCCTCACATTTACATCCAATTAAGAATTTTCTTGATTTCGGTTGTTTTTTCTCTATATTTACTGGGTTATTAAATCTATCTGTGTTCTTGTAGATATTATATACCTGTTAAAACACTGCAAATTATTTCTATTTTTCAATTGTAATGAAAATTCTTTCAATATTTGTTGAGGTATAACATAAGCAATTAATTAATAAATTAGAAGGGATTTAGGATCTTATAAATTAGATCAAATGACACAAATCAGACCCCTGTAAACAAATTAGAACTATAGATCTAAATTAAAAAAGTTTAAGTTGTTTTATCCATTTATTTCTTGCAAAAATATAAATGATGCGTAAAATATACAAATGATTGAAATGGTTACGAAGAGCAGTAATTCACCTTTCCAACAGGTTTAGGATCACTGAATTAGGGGAAAAGCTTGACAAGTTTACATTATTCTAGTAAACAGCATGAAAAAAGCCATCATGATAACATTATAATTTCTATAACTTTATTATAAATTGAATAAGTAAAAGTATATATATACATACTTATGTTTTTGGGCAAACATTTTGGCATTTAATTCTATTTACTTGCTTGGAACCTGTCATTATCTGTTAAATGGCATTGAAATATTGAAATTAAAATTTTACTGTTTGTAAAATATATGTAATACCCATTATGATACACCATCAAATGCTGAACAGTCAACAATATTTAATGTTTTTTATTTCTGATTACCAGCCAACTGTCATTTAGATTAAATTCATGGGCCACAATATTTACATTATTGAATATTATTTAAAATTGTAATTAGTCATTAATATTTTTTTTCAGGATACCTCCGGCAAAGAGACCTAACTATATAAAGCTTGGATTTCCAACACCATTTAACTGTCCTTGGAATATTTTAATTAGAGATTGGACAGATGGAGAACATGAATCATTCTTTGTTCTTCGCAATATTAAACAATTAATATGTTTAAAAAACAAATTAATGAAAATTAGGAATAAATTGTCTTTTGAACCAACTATGACTTCAGCTCTGGTTGGAGTGATGATTACCCTAAAAGGAAAGGGAAGTCTTGATAATAATGCTTATATTTGTATTCCAACTAAGTCTGACTTGGAAACGCTTAAAGCAGATCCAGATTTCAGTGGTCCAGTTGAAGAGAAACATAGAGATGTTTTTAAAGAGAATAGAAAAAGTGCCTTAGAGGACCATCAAAAACTGTTAAGAAAGCTTACAAGAAAAAGGCGCAAAGAAAGAAAACAAGTAGAGAAGGTGAATGAGTGTTCAAAATCAGATGAAATCATCTCTGAGCATAGTGAAATAATGAAGAGACTCTGGCTGCCGGAATGTACAACAATAAAAGAATATGATTGTAGAACTGTTGTAGGTTTTGTCACAAATGGTGATTTCTCTTTTACTAATGCCAAAAGTTCTGGCGTCGGCTATATTTGTCTGAAGGGATTGCTCGCTTTATTTCAACTTTTAGAAGAATTTGAAAAAAATAGATATGTATTAGTCCGTAATCATAATAGTAACCAGTATAGGTTTGCTGCAATTAATATAATTTGTTGACATTTTTAATTAAATATAATTAGTTAGTTTATATTATTTTTATTGAAGGTTACCTGTTTTCATGAGATTTAAATATACGACTTATGCAATTATGTGGAAATTACTAATTATCTACCTTTCTAATTAATAAATATTTAAATATTGACTAATTTTTAGTAATGTCCTCAGAGTTTTAATAGCCTAAATGTACTATCAAATTGACTATCTATACTTAAAATAAAAATAAAACAATTTTGCACAAATGGGAAGTATCACTTTATTTTGAGATCTACATGACCATTGACAGACTATTAGAAAATAAAAAAAAAAGAATATTCCAGTAACTTTTTTTAAAACATTGTTGTCTGTAAATGTAATATATTTATATATATATATACTTGGTACAGAAAGTTCTTTGACATTTTATGATATCTATCACACAGCAACTCTTTATTCTAAATCAATCCATTAATAACATGTAAAAATATAATTTTTATACCTAAACTATTTTATACTTTTACAGAGAAATTTATTCATGAAATTGTAAATAAGATTATCAATAATGCTGATTCATAATACAAAATTGTCTATTAACAAAAACAATTTTTGTAACCTATGTTGATACATTTTAGCTATCCTGCATTTTTACTTGAAGTTATTTTTTTACTAGGTAGATTTTTTTCAAACAAAGTTATAAATTGACTAAATAAATACCCTATAACTACCTTTCATTAATGCTGAAAGGAAATAAAAATAAAATTATTCTGAGGAGTGGGAGCGCTAGTAGAATATTCATTATTTGGTAAGATGAGATAAATATCAGCATGGTTTCCAGTGTTTCTAACCAAATTCCTCTATATTTTCTGCTCTCTCCCCCCCCCCATACATTCTGAAAGTTCCCATTAAAAAAAAAAAAATGCTGTTCTGAATCATGCGTTGTCATTACGAATTAAACTGATGAGTAAAGCTGTCTATATCAAACTATAATTGCAACTCATCCTAATGTTACTCTTTTTAATTTTACTTACCTATATATGGCATATACATATAAAGTTTATTTGAGAAGTGATCTAAATAAAATAAATGTAAAGTTGAAATAATACCACACACAAAAAAGGGAATGGAATTCCATACTTAGTTGTAGTAAATATAAGGAAACTGCATGAAATGAGTAACAAAATATAATCTCACAACCATAGCTACTTCAGAAAATTAAATCTAATGCCTGATTTAAAAACTCACTAACATAGCTTGAAAGAAAAACATTGAAGACAATTATTATTGAAAACAATTTTGAATCTTAATTTAAAACTCACCAACATAGGAACTTAAAAGGCAAACAAAATGAAACTAAAATCTAAACTGTTAATTCAATAACTCACAAATATAAGAACTAAAGAAAATAAATTCAAACTAAAATCTAAAAAGTTCATAAATAGTTAGGTGAACTTTGGCTTCCAACAATAACGTAATGCAGGAGTTTCATGCTGGCCAATGAGAGATTATTCTTTGAGGTGTTCAAAGCTCATGATCTGATCAGATCATATAAAATAAAAAAAAATTACCCGTATTGTAGAGTTTAAAAAAATTGTTCAATGAAATTATCAGAATTTCTTAATACATTTCCCAGTTTTCTCCACAAAATGCCTTCCCTCAGTTTTCAAGTTATTCCAGGTTGCTGCTGGACACCCTGATTGAATAATGTATTATACGTATTTATTTTTCAAAAAAAATTTATATATATATAAAAGAATATGATAGCTACTTATTCACAGTAGGTTGGCAGCCTGAGTGAGAGCAAACACATGTGCACTAAGTCAAAATTAACTTTTTCTTACCATTTGACTGGATTTAGATACATTTACACCTATAACAAGATTAACATACCTTTACTTGAAGTATATGTATATATTTGTAAGTAAAATAAGATGATAAGAAAAAAAATAAATAAAAAGGTCAGTTTCAACTGAGTTCTTCATGTGATCCCCCCTAGGCTACTACTGTAAACACATATGCACTAAGTCAAAATTAACTTTTTCTTACCATTTAACTGGATTTAGATACATTTACACCTATAACAAGATTAACATACCTTTACTTGAAGTATATGTATATATTTGTAAGTAAAATAAGATGATAAGAAAAAAAATAAATAAAAAGGTCAGTTTCAACTGAGTTCTTCATGTGATTCCCCCTAGGCTACTACCGACAATCTGTGGGAAATATATACAGTTTACTTATACAATGAAACCTTGATTAATAATAGGTGGGGTGAAAGGGGAGAGTTACTAAAACAAACATTTTATGAAGTAACAAGCATACATTTAAATTAACAAGGAAAATAAAGAATAAATGCATTACACATGTATAAAAGATTCCAGCCGCAGGCACCACTGCTGGGGAAATTTTTTAATTGAAAAACATCTTATTTGAAAAACAAATAGAAAAGAAGAGCAATACTTTTTCTTATCAAATGAAAAATTGAGAATGAACAAAAAAATTATGTTTAGATCACTGGTGCAATAACAGTTAGTAAACAAGGTGGTAACAAATATGTCAATCTTTGTTTTGGTCATTTAATCTATCCCTATCTATATGTTCATACATATTTAATTCAGTTTTTGATTTATCTTATGTTCTACCATGTAAACCAGTTTTAAGCTTATATCAAGTAAGATTGAACAAATAAAAATAATGTTAAGAGTTTAAAAAACAGTATATTTTTTTTTAATAGTATTTATATGTTTTGGTTGATTATATATTTATATTTAAATAAAAATCTAAAATTAATTTTAATTATTAAAATATTTGTGGTCATTCATATTCTTTAATGTTGTATTAATTGATGATTTATTAATTTCTTAAATTGGTTATAGAAATCATTTTAATGAATATTTTTAATGATAATATTAATGAATCACAGTTTAAATAATTTTGATAACAATTCCAAAATATTCATGAAAAAAGGAAAAAAGGGTTGTAATAAAAAAGGAAATGCTAGATTATCAAGGTATAAAAAATCTATTATTACTTTTATGATTCAATAGATAATAATTTTTAATGAACAAATAAACAATGAACAATTGGTAGTACATTTTGAAAAGACCAAGTTATGCAAAAACCATTCCAATTATACATAATTATTAAGAACCAGTTGAAACATGGCAAGGCTTAGCTTAAAATGTATTTGATGAAAAATGGGTTCTTGTAAAAATAAAGAAAGTAAACAAATTTTTAAAATTTCCTATTAGGCTTTATTTTATGATTCATTTAACCTTTTGTTTTTCAAAATCTTGTTCATAAATTAACATTAAGAAGGAAAAAAAGGTTTCTCAGAAAATAAATATTCACCTCAACATTATGCTAAATAAAATTAAACATTGACAATTCAAAATCAAATCAAATTAAACTTTTGGCTCTTAACTAATGGAAGACTTAAAGCTCATCAAAGCTTTTAACAATTTGTATTGCATTTAGATTGTTTGCAAATAATGCTGACTAATTATCAGGCTATATAACATGGAAGGAAAGAATATTAAAATATAATACTTAAAACAGTTTGTTAATATCAGAACAATTATTGTAAATCAATTGTAAAACAGGAACAAGTGACTAAGAAATCTTTAATCATCTACAAATTTATACCTAGAATATAACACTATAAGTATAAGGTCTCAAAATCTAAAAGAATTAAGGCTATTTATTTAATATCCATTCCTAGAACTGCCTATTTACAAAACTAGGACATTGTACCTAAAATATATGTGTATTCTAGTTAAAATTAATTTGAATAGCTCCTAAATGTCACTCCAACAATCCCTTAGAGGCCTAAGCAATTATTGCTAGAACTGGAAATATAGAAAAAAAAAAATAAAATAAATAAAACTAAAGGAAATATAATAATTTGTTTAAACCAGAAATTACCCACTGGAAACCAGACCATTTCCATTTATTAAAACAATTTTTAATTAAGTTCAAACTGTAAGGAAACTTAATTAAAACTTCATTAAGGGTTGGAAACTAACGTTTTCAGAGGAATGGAATGTCATGACTTTATTTCGGGACTAGAAACTGGATTCCTAAAAATATTAAATAAATAAAAATATTAAGTAAAATTTAATTATATGACAACGATTCACAGAATCGATGTTTCCTACAATTTTTCCATCCCATTATTAACTCTTCATACAACAAAACTTAAAATTAAAAAATAAAATAAAATAAATTAAAAAAGCATTTCGATAATGCTGAGAAAAATTATTAAGTGTCACATCATAGATAAAAGAATGGTTGGTTTTAAAAACAAAATAACCAAAAGCCAAATAATTGACAAATTTGGGAAGAGCCTGCAGAATATGAAATATAGTTAGACTTTGTCTGGTGAAGTCATGTGCTTCAGAGAGAATAAACAAGTGGGACATGAAATATGCTAAAGACTCATTCCAGGTGCACACAAGTGCCTGGGCAGTTAAAGTGGGTGGTAAAGGAATTTGTACCAATCTTAAATCACACCATGTGAAGGATTTCACTCTTTATTATTAGTTATAAGTCTATTGAGGAGGAAGAACTTTCTCAACAAAAGTCTTCAGATCTGACATTTCCTGAAAACATAAAGAGAAAATCATTTAGAAAAAAAATTTAGAGAATAACAATTAAAAAGGTGTATAATAAAATACCTCGTCAGAAGAGCTATGACCAAGTCCACGGTATGTTTTAAAATCTACTTTAGAAGAATACTGTTTGAGATATGAAGCTGTCATTTGACCCCATTTGTAAGGAACAAGAGGATCACAATCACCATGGCATTGAATAATTGGGGTTTCTCGATTCCCTTTGATACTCTAAAAATCAATATTTTATTAATAAAACCATGATAAGATCTGATATGTCACAATGGCTCACACTTACGCCTGGGAATTGCTTATGAAGAGGTAACCAGCAAGACAGTGCCATAACTCCACCTAGCTGGCCTGGGTAAGTGAAAGCAGAATAGAGGGCTAAAGCACCTCCTTGTGAGAAACCACCAACAACGATTCTCTCAGATGGAACACCTGAAAAATTTGAAAATGTAAACTTAATTTCAAATAAAATTTGCTGAAAAAAAATTAACACTAACTTATTCCAATAATTACTGTGAGAGAGTATAAGGTACAACAAATATTGAAATTCGTTTCTATATATCAAGTAGACCTATTAATCTTGATATATTCAATAAATAAATATTCAAAATTATTTTATATTTAATAGGGTCCTATCTTCAATGGAAATTTTATTAGCCCATCTAAATTTATTTTCTATAGGTTTATAATAATATTCTCTGTTTTTTTTTTAAATTAAATCTTTCTTAGAAATAAGTACAGTTTACATTACAGTTTTTTTATTTGTTAATGAAAAATAAAATGGGACTGAGCTAATCGTTAATGGATAAAAAATTAACAACTCTAAAAAGATATTTCTTGATGTTATCTAATGTGTATGATAAGAATATTTTGTGATAAATGAATCAGAGAAAAATTTCTTTTTATTGGCCATCTCAACAATTAATTGACTCGCCTGCATTTATTTCTGCATTAATCAAAGCATGAACACTTTCAGAGGCTTTTTTAATTCCTGGTTCATCTTCTTCACCAGATGCATCAAGTGATTTCAAGTCAAACCATGAGGGCATTTTTAGACCACTATTAAGAGTCACTTTAATGGTAGGCCTGAATGCATCAAAATAGAACATTAGTTAGTTCAAATATTTGTAATAAATACTAGCTAAAACACTTTTAGGTATTTTACTTACGCTGTTGGGCATATAACTTTAGCATAAGCTGGCCGAATAGCTGCAATTGCGCTTGCCCAACCATGGCTAAAATATAATTAAAAATAGTAAGTTACAGACTAACAGATTAATTGAAAATAAAAATATTTATGACCTTAAACATAGTTACCCAGTATCTCCCAAACCATGAAGAAAGATAACCTGTCAAAAAAACAATGACACAATTTTAACACATAACGACTCAAAAAATAAGCAGCACTATAAAAATGAATAAAACAAAATCCATGCCAGAGAAAATATTTAAATAAGGGTTAAAATTGAATGTTATAGTCTTAAAAAATTACTCACTGTTGCTGTATGTTTTGCTGTAGCTGCAACTATCACGGGAGAAGCCGACATTTTCACTTCCAAATTAAGGCTGATAATAACCACTATTTATATTATTGGGATTGTCAGAACAATAAAAAATTCAGCATGCGTGATAAAATTAAAAAATCTGATAACCGGTAACCAAAACGTACCGAATACGTCTACAATGGCGCCTGGAACATATGTTCCCCCTCCAATTGCCCTTATATTACAATTTAATTATGGGGAAATGTCACATCTTGATTGCATAACGTAGATTATATTGATTATATTAATGAACAACTATGGCTAATCAATTAATTTACATTTATTACTACATTATAGTGCTAATAAATTAATTACCAATTTGTACTTAATTTTAATATTTCTAAATTTATAATTAGGAAGTATTAACGTTCGGCAACACCAACTAATATTTATTATTATTGAAGTTAATTTTATTTGTTATGTTTCAAAACATGACAATCTTAGTCTGGAAAGTTCGATTATTGTATATTTGTTAGATATTAGTCTTCGTTATTCTGACAAATATATTCTGTGTTCAATTGAAAAATACTTTTTAATAAAAGAAATTTTTCATTTCAATGTTTTTACTTTTAATTTAATATCAGGGTCAACACTATAGTCAATAAAAGAGGGTTTCATATTTTACAGAGTAAATTGAGTCAGATTACAATCAATTTTTTTCATTGTATGTTATCATAGATTGCGAAAACTGAATTCTGACAACATTTATAGGGTAGAAGTAAGGACTGTCAGGTGTACTATTCTCCATAGGATAGTCTCTCCCATTCTCCCCCTAAGGTGGAAACCACCTCTCCCTTTGTTGTCTGATTTCAAACTTTTCACTCAAAAATAAATAACCCCATCAAAATGTGCTCCCCTCAAAATTCAAATCCCCCTCAAAATGCCATGCCTCAAAAGTTTTTATTTAATAAATACCGTGAAACCCACTTTTGGGCACCCTCCTACTCTTTCTATTTGTTTAAACTGTCCTATGTTAGTTAACTTGAGTCCTAGATTCATTAGCTATGCAATTTTTATTCCTAATCAAGACTTTTAATAAAGATTTTATATTGTTTCTGATACTAATGCAATATATAATGAGTGCACAGTTCTGGTATTGTATTTCCTAAAGAGATCCACATAACATCCACACATCCACATCCACGCATATATTATTACAGTAAGGCTGGAAATCCGTTTTGTACCAAATATAAGCTCCTGTCATGCTCAAGTACCATGAATGGGGTACCGTTGGATTCAGAATTTCACGGGGAGTTAGCGAATCGTATTCTCCACTTTTGTTTTTCATTCTAACATTCCACATTGCTATAGTATCAATACGACGTTGAAACAATTTGTACTGGCCGAAGGAGGAAAGTGGGTTCAAATAGTTTTTTTTAAGGGAAAACAGGGTTGAGATTTGTATTTCCCACCTCTATAAAACCTCAAATACGAATTTTCATGAAAATAAAAAAAAAATTTCTTTGCAGCAAATCGGAACCAAGCCTCCTTCGAAAATCAAAAAAAGTGGAATAACATAAAAATGACTCCACGTATCCTCACGAAAATTTACATTAAGTTAGGACTGCATAAGCTACACGAAACGACACTAACCAGACCCTTGTAAATATAATAGAACTAGAGATTTTCTAGAACCACACTTTTCCCTTGGTTATGCCCATGATTATATAAACGATTACTAAATTCTCTACAAAAGGAGAAAAAAATCATCGAAATTGGACAATTTTTTGCAAAGACATTGCTCATTGAAATTTTTAAATATGTTGGTTCCAAACATTTATAAAGTTTTAAATGAATTTTTGTTTCCTTGAATTTTTTGTGTCGATTGTATTTATCGATAAAGCAACGATTGAGTTCTTTATCTTTTGATATGTTGCATTATTTTCTTTTCTTATTAATTTGGCATTTGATCACTTAACAATATTCTGTGCGAATTTTTCGCACGGGCCTACTAGTATAATTTATTAGTTATATTATAGAGTTGTGTTATTAGAAATAGTAGTAAGTGTATTCATTTTGGGTTAATTAAGTGTATACAGTTTTTACTTTCACTTACATATGTATATATATGTAAATTACATATATAATATATAGAAAGGGAAAGTATTGCGATAGTGAAAATTGTTTACACAACTTAACGGTATGGAATCCTATTTTTATTGTTTCCGGAATTCTCGAAGTAGGAAAGGTGATAATATAAAAATTTGTCAATATCTCATTTCCATTCTTTTTTATTTTAATGCGTATATTATATCCTTTATCATTGGAGATAATTCATTTTTAATTTCGTCTACCACTAGGAATTGGAGGTCGTAACATCGAATCACCCCTTTACTGTAATTTAAGGTATTGTGGAGTGACACTTGAACCGAAAATTGACCACCAAAATTTTTACTTTTTAATAATTCTTCCGATTGTTTTCTGTTTTTGGTTACAATAAGTAGTGCACCATTTCTTAACTTTTTTACATTTTTTAAGTCTTCCACCAAACCCGAAAGAAACTTATTTCTTAAGAACTGAGATACTTTTTGAAAATTTTGATCATCTGATCTTTTTATTATTAAAAACGATGGGCTAATTGCGATTGCACCATCCATATTTTCGGCTCAAATTTAAAACGACCCCGAGGTCGTTTTCGTTTAACATTTGGGCTATTTATTTCAATGGGATCCCCCACAGAAATATAAAATAAAACGCAATAAAAGGAATCTAAAGAAAGCTAGTAATAAAGAAAAACAAATTGATAAAATAATATATATCCTTATAGTTAATAACAAATGATAAGTGAAAAGTTATGAGAAAAAGAAATTAATATAAACGTATATATTCTTATCGATGAGCGACTAGAGAGGCACGTCTTATCTCTTCCAATGCGTGCACTGAACTGAAGGTGGTATACACTGTGGGCCAGAACCCCCTACCGTGCACCCTTCCCCCACATCTCTATAAATTGCATATCGTTGTGTTCCTTGTAATTATTTGTTAAAAAAAAGCTAATGTTCCCACGAAAAAAAGTGAACGAACTGCCACAAAATGTCGTCCAAACATGGCGGACTGACGACTTTGACTTTAGTTAGTTTATTTGTCACTGAGAATCAGCATTTGGCTTAATTTCGTCAGTTGGTCTTTCCTCTTCGTCAGTTTAGTTGGTCTTTTATTAAAGCTGGATAGTCAGAAAATAATAAACATGAAAAAATATCAAAAAATAATTAGCTTAGGCAATAAAAAACACCACTAAAGTCAATTTTTTCAACATAAAAATTTACAAGTTGAAAATTAAGCATACACATTTGTTGCTTATGTACGCGCAAAACAGTGCGAAGCAGTTCGGTTTACTTCGTCTAGACCTGCTGACTTACCAATTGCTTCGAACAAATCTTTCTTGCGGATAAAATGGTCTTCACCATAATAAACCTGCATCGCCCCCTTAATATCTTACAAACTGCCCCCAGCATTTGACCCCCTTTTAGCTGCATCTTGAAATATTCTGTTCATCTTTCTAGAATATTCTGTATTGGTTTAGCCATATAATGGATACTGGTCCTTGTTTTCTTTTCCAAGATTTTGGTATTTCCTTTCTCGTTCGCTTGATGTATTTTTCGAATTTTTAGGTTCAATTTCGCGTTTTCCCTCGTTTTGAGACCAAATACTAACAATGAGTTCCGGTTACCTAGAAGAAGTTATAGCTTTGCCCTTTCCATCTTTCTTTGTGCAAAGAGAATAATGCATTCGATATTAAAATTTCCTATTTTTTTATGATTTGGTCCAACTTCCGAACAAAATAAAGGAAATAAAAATTATTTTTTTTATTAATGGTATATGATTTTTATTAAACAACCTATCAACTATTCATTATATGTAGTTCAGATTAGGTATATATTATTTTAGTTTATAAAACAGGTATTAATATGACTCATTTCCGGGGAAATATATACAATTTAAATTACCTCTGAGAATTAGTAAATATACAAAACAAAGTGTTAAATTGCAAACGTTAAATAAAAAATTTAAGATATTCAGCAAAATTTTATTAAGATAATTATATCATTTTTACAATAGAGGCCTTCTTAAACGACTTGCGTATAGAATGAAAGAAATTAAATTTTAAAAAATAAATTAAAAATAAAAATTGTTTACTTTTTTTTGGACAATTAAATTATTGCATATATATTTGTTTGTTAATAAAATCAATATAATGTACCAAAAACGTTATTATATCACTATAACTTAGCCATTTATGAGTAGTGAATGGTGTGGTAGAGGCCTGTAGGCACCTACGCCAGTACCTTTTTTCTACCGCTTATGTGCATTTTCTACGGAACTGTTTCAAATATTTTACAAGGTAATCAGTGTTTTAGAAAGAAAAATATATTCTCCAGATGTTTTATACCAGCACGTTTTGCGTCATTGTTGGCCGTTAAATTACAAACGACGCTTAATTTACGAATTGAAAAAAAAACTGGTGTTTTTTATTGTCTAAGCTAATTATTTTTAAATGTTTTATTATTTTCTGACTATCCAGCTTTAATAAAAGACCAAATATGACGAAATTAAGCCAAATGCTGATTCTCAGTGACCAAAAAACTAACTAAAGTCAAAGTCGTCAGTCCGCCATGTTTGGACGCCATTTTGGGGCAGTTCGTTCACTTTTCTTTGTGGGAACATTGGCTTTTTTTTTTAATAAATAGTTACAGGGACCACAACGATATGCAATTTATAGGGATGTGGGAGGGTGAGAGGGGGAGAGGTATACGGTATGGAGTCTGGCTCACAGACTAGTAAAGTTAGTTCCAAAAAACAGGAAACAAATACCTCTCAGCAAATAGTTACCAGTGAAATATGATATGATATCATGTGCAAATTAAATTGCGAGAGAATTTGTAATGCACATGTTGCACTGTTTTAAAACCTACAATATTCCCAAAAAAATATTTCTTAGTGGATCGTCCAGTGTTGGCAAGAGTACAGTAATTAACGCTGTGTATCAATTAATTACTAATAATTTGATAACATGCCTGGTGCTGACAAGGACAAAATTATAATATTATTGTGTGCACCCTCAGGTAAGGTAGCGTTCTTAATTCCTGGTGCATCACTGCAAGCTGCTTTTGCATTACCTCCTACTCAGTTTTCAGGTATCATCGCTAGCGGACACAGGATTTAATTTTGGGGGGAGGGGGACTTCGGCCCGAAAGCTTTATATATATATATATATATATATATATATATATATATATATAATATATATATATATATATATATAACGATAATTACTTTGGAAAAAAAAGAAACATACTACCTATATGAAATGGTGTTTAAGTGATTCTTGAAGGCCTATTAAATGTAATTACACGAACAATAATACTTTAAGAGATAATTTTTTAATATTTTTTCCACAAAACATGGTAACATTTTACCATTTAGGGAGAGGAGCGGAGGGGAGGGCTTCAGCCCGAAAGCCTCCTCCTACCCCGTAGTAGATCTGCCTGTAGGTATCATGCCAGCATTATCCAGTGATGTAGCCAACAACATAAGAGAAAAATTATTTCACCTTAAATTAATAATGATGGATGAAATATGGATGGTCGGCAGTGAATTATTATCCAGACTAGACACCAGATTATGACAAATAAGAGGGATAAATGAGCCATTCGGAGGGATATCTGTGCTCCTAGTGGCCATCTCCATCAACTTCCGCCTGTATAAGACTCACCTATCTATAAATTTCAATCCAATGAATTTTACATAAATCTTTCATGAAAAATGAAAATAACACGGCGTACTTAAAGCCAATAGGTAAGAACAGCGAGATACTGGATATATCAAATACGTTGGAACAGCAAGTAGTTAGAGAGCAGTTCCCATTGGTGTGTGCCGAGGCATTGATGGTCCATAAGAGAACAGACATACAAAGATATAAGCATTGACTTTAATAAATGTGACCGGATTACAAGATTAACACTGTACATGGCCTTTGTATGGTTTGTATTTACTCAGTAAATTTAAGTTCTCATCCACCAAGGAAAGATGATCCAATACTGTCAGAAATGAATAAATTAAGAAATAACAAGTATAATATAATACAATAACAACAATAGCGGGACTATTTGTAAGTATAATATATCATTGGAAAGCTGAGAATTTTAGAAAAATAATATCTTGTAAGCAAGGACCGGCTCTTTATGCAGTAAAAACCCACAGAATATGCCATATAATATGCAGTAGAAAATCCTGAAATATGCAATAAAAAAACATGAAAATTGTAGTAACCGGTCTCTAAATTTTCCCCACTTTGACTATTGCTGCACAGTATATGGAGGCATCTCTGGGGACCTCGAGGTGAAACTAAAACACTTGATAAATTGCTTTGTACAATTCATCTTCGGGATCCCAAGAGATGTCTCTGTTTCCCGTTTTTATGTAGAATTGAAGTGGCTTTACCCTTCCTACCGTCGTAAGTATTTCCTAATATCTTTCCTCTTTCAAGTCATCCAATCCCACCGACCTTCATACATCTCCGAGCTCCGCCAATTCAAATCCTCTGTTCGCTCCCACAATACTCGTTCCAGGTCTTCTGATTTATACATAAGGACCAACCGAACTGCTGCTTTCGACAGATCGTTCATTATACGATCTTCATCCCTATGGAACTCCATCCCTTCCCACATCCGTCAACCCTTCCTATATTTAAATCCCACCCATTGAATCATTTCTTATCCATCCAGTCCCCATAAAATTGTAAATAGATACCACTGTAAATATGTATATAAATTATTAGATTGTTCTTCATTATTTTTACTTTATTTTCAATTTTTTATTATTACCTTATTCAAGTTAGAAAGTAACTTATAATTTTTTAATATGACTACTTCATTTCTTAACATTTTCTTTTTATGTATCTCTGATGCTCCTTACCCACATTACTGTCCTTCTGTATTATTTTAAAGGGACTCGTCCCAGAATAAATAAAGTATAATTATTATTATTATTAAATATACTAAACTTACTAATTACTTGATTGACAATATATCAATAACGTATTTAAATATAATGACGCACCTACAAAAAGTTTTGAAATGAAAAGAAATTATAGAGGGGTTGAAAATTACAATAATTTCAGTTCTTTTAAAATATCTAAACTAAAGAGTGAAAATAACTAAACATATACGGCTAGTAAGGTTATATATACATACATACATACATCACAATTATAACGAAAACATAACATGAATCACATTAAAAAAAATTAAATATCTAAATTTTATAAAGTATGTACAAACGAAAAAACAATAATTCTATTAACATATACTTAAATAAGCATACTAATAAAAGATAACAAATACGGAACAGTAAGTATTTAAATACTTTAAAATTTTGTATGTTAATGGATAAAAATCTAATATGAGTCTTTGTTGAAACAATAACAGAATTTAACAACCTGTGGAATAAATAACATGAACTATATTAGATAAAACATTTGAATTAGCCCGCTTTGCGGACATGTTCTGCAGAAAAATAAATTACCAGAAGCATTTGTAAATTTACTTCTGTGAAACCTAACTTTTTGTATAATATTTTTATAATTAGAAAATGATCTTTCCACATCAATAGGCAAGATAGAGGAAAATTTATATCTATTAATAATGTCGCTGGGAACAATTGGATATTCACCATTTAAAATTTTATTATTACCTTCCAGAATTGTGAGATCTATATTTTTTATAGAAAATTTTTAAAATAATTTTTTGCATTTAAAGTTTCACCCACTTGGACTCTTACCACTGTTTTTCCCTCAGTTGTAAAAACTATTTCATGTCTGTTGTTTTAAGGTTCAATCCAACACAGTCTACAAATGTGGTAGATTTTGTTCATTAAAAATAAACCTATTATTGTAATCTTGAATTTCATCTTCAATATTGCAATTTAATTTGTTC